GTTTATGCTTTTCATTTCCTTTCCTTTACTTAGTTAGCTTTTATGTTCTTATTTTGTTTATCTATTTTGCTTTCTTTCATTATGTCTAGCTAAGTTAATTATGTCAAGGTGAAAAGGTTACACTAATGGTGTGAGAATAAGTATAATGTAAACTTAATATGGACCTTAATGTTTGATACTAACATGTTTTATATTTGTTATCTTGTTCACTCTTTAATACTTTGCTTGTTAAATGACTAATCTTGATTTATGTTGTATAACACTTGGTACAACAAATGCTTGGCACTTTCATAGCCTATAATGTATGGTATAACCGACACCTGAGCTATGAAAGGAACTTGATTTGTTGTTAACATAAGTTATAATCATGAATGCTTGACGAGATTTACAAGTATTAGCATTAATTGAATAGGATGACTAATGTAATCATGTTAACAATATATAATCTGATTGGAACCTCCTTTGTGTATGGTTTCCAATTCAATAATAAGAGTTTATACTATACTTGTTTGATATACCATTAGTGGAACCTCTAACCTTGACATTTGTTATTATTATTGTTTAATCCTTACATTAATTTTCCATCTCCAAGTTCTCATCATCTTCTTCTCTTCTTCTTCTCTTTCTTTATTATTATTATTATTATTATTATTACTACTACTACTACTATTAATACTATTATTATTATTATTATTATTACTGTTGTTGTTATTGTTGTTTTATAATTGTTGTTTATAATTTGTACAATTAACCTCCCTGTGGTTCGACCCCGGTCTTGCCGGGTTATTTATTACTTCGACACTCCTGCACTTGGGAGAAGACATCAACCTTTTAGTCGTGTCATTATATTTAAAGATTAAGTATAATATTTAGTAATTTGTCATGATCCTCTAAATATTAAGAAAGTCATAAGTAGTTTGACTTAACTTTTCAATGACTAGTTTCTTAGTGAAATTATTATCCTTTCATCATGAATGTTCTAATTTAGATATTATAGCATGCAGTATGTTTGCTTTGTCAAATCATGTTAGTTCCCAATATTATATTTATTAATTCTTTGAATAAGATTTTAAAACTCTTTTCAAAATTCATTCCACCTTGGTTAAGGATTTTACAATCAATATTATTTAATAATATATGAAACATTTTTTCTAATTCACTCAGGTTGATGAATTCTCTCTTGATTTCTCAAGTACATTCATATAGTTTATGTTAGACCCAAATCTGGTTGTTTGTTGCCCTTAATAAGAATAACATATGATTAGGATCAAAGCATAACATTCTTTATATAAGATAACTTAGTGATCTCAAGTTTGAGGGTCACTTATACAACTATCACGAGAACTTTTTCATAGACATATGTGATCTCTCCATATAGAATTTTCTTGTGGGTCAGTTCAGTGGACATGTTATCTAATAAATACTTACATATTAGTTTCAAGTATCCCTCGTATCTAAGTTTGTGAGAGCAACTACTTCTTTTCATAAAGAAATGAACATAATATATTTTCTTTCATACTTTTCATAAATTTTCCATTTAGCCATAGCACCTAATTTCAATGAGATTTTTCATGGTCTTGTATAACTATTACTATTGATCAATTAGATAATTAACAACATTTATATTATTAATTCCTTTTTTCTTCATTTCAATAAGGAGAAGATATAATTAGGAATTTAATCTCAAATGGAGGCATATAACAATCTTGAAATCAAATAAAGTAAAGAAACACAATAATAAAAGTGTAGTTGTCAAATATTTTGATCTTTGAGAAAGATATGTTATTATTCTAGGCGATGTGAGGTAAAAAAAAAAGTAAATAAACTAGAATGTAAAGAAAAGCTTATAAATAAATTAGTAAAAAAACACAATAATAAAAGACAAATTATAGGAAAGCTATAAAAAAAATTGTATATATGAAGCATATCATTATTTTTAGCTACTAGATGATTTATTTATAATATTACATGGATATAATTTCATACAAATTCCTAATCTTACACAAATTATTTATGAAAAATAAGGACTCTATAATCTAAATCCTAGTACAACTTATACTTTTTATTTATATGTATCCTTATTGTAGTTGTGTGTGTTTTTATTAAATTATAATATCCATTAGTTTAACTAAACCTAATTGATCAATGTTTTAATGTAAATTCTAATCTTTTTGGTCAATGGTCGATCTCAGTTATCTTCAATGGTTGATGGTTGATTTCACTAGTTGATGGTCATTTTATCTTTCCTCACTAACTTATAAAGTGAAAAACTATTGTTTTTAATTAAATAACATGTGCTTGTTTATTTTTAGTATAAATAATGCCTCTATACTCTTTTATTTAGAATAAATGAAGGAATATTGAAATACCTTTTATCTAAAATTGATTAAAAAATCCACCATTAGATAATGCAGATAGCCAATTATTATACTGGATTGGGCTTCATCCTATTTTGTAATGATCATGTTTATGGTAAATCATTAACATCACATGTTAGTATTATTAGTATTATAATTGGTGTTTATTGTTTATTGATTATTGACTAAATGACTATTCTTTTTTATCCCAAAACTAGTTCTCTTAGTAAGGTATATGGTTTAATATCATTCTTTTTCATCATTGTATTTAAATGTTTATGCTTCAAAATTGGGTTTTTGTTAACTAACCTTATAGTCATGTTTTTTTTAGATTTAGGAAATATTTGTGATCACTAGTCTGTTTGACATCCTCGTCATTGAGTTTTAATGACTTATATTATGTCCAATGCTTATACAATAAACTTTTTAGGCATTAAGATCACAATAAACTTTTTAGGCCTTAAGATTATGAGCTCTTGTTGTGTACCATTATGTTCAACTTTACCCCCTCAAGGTCCTTTATATGGGGTATAATTATATAAAAAATAGGATATTTCACTTAGTCATATTAGTTTATTTTACTTCTTACTAATAGACTTATTAATGTTTTTGAGCATTCTTAATACAATAACCTCAAATGTTTATCCATTTCTAAGTTCTATGACTAATATTAGTTGATGATGCTTAATTTTTTTTTAAATCTTTTTCAAAGTATGAATTGGCTTTGAATGAGCCATCAAAACTTTGTTAAAATAGCCAACTAGACATGTTCCCCTAACTTGTTGTTCAACAAAAAATCCTCAGGTATACAAAGATTGAGATTGGCTTGGTAAAAGGCAACTTATAAGGCATTAAACTACCAAATTATTGGTTAAGCTAGTTTTAAATAAGGTGGTTGGATCATGTATTTGGCTTAAGACTACATATGCACTTGTAAACATGTATTTATCTTAAAACTACATATATACTTGTAGAGTATATGATATCTTGTTAGCAATTAGCTGAACTTGTTATGATATATATTATGTCAATTGTTAAAGTTAGTTTAATTAAAAGAGAAAAAAAGCCTTGTAAGGCTACATGTATGTGGTTGAGCTGCAAAGAGATTTTTAATGTAAGATATGAAGGAATAATAAATAAAAAAATAAAGTTCCTTACTTCGAGTTCAATATTATTTATATAGCCTTAAACTCATATGTGCATGTTGTAGCTAAGAGTACAATGGTTAATATGCTTGCCAATTATAAATATACACTATTTGGAAACTAAGATCCAGAATGATAACAAACCATTGCAAAAACTTACCTTTTAGAGTTTGTGTATAGTATACAATTGATAATGACTCTTATACCATATCTTTATTTAACACTTGGATGGGAGGCATGCTAGTATTTATTGTATGTATGATTTGTCCCTTTGGTTAGTAATTAAGAATAAGCATCGGTTGAAGTAGTTTGGTTTGAATACCAATCAATTTAGTTCTATTTGGTTTTATTTTTTTCAAAAACTCAATAAGTCTATTTCAATTTCTAAGATTTTTTGTTAAACTATTTTTAACATGCTTTAATTTAATGGGCCTTTAGTTTATAATAAGTCTTTTTATTTAGTTTGGTTCAATTTAATTTAGTTTGATATTTTTGTTTTAACTTTTGAAATTAAAATCAAACTGAATTGAATTTTTTTTAATATTCTAACCAAAAAATTTTTGAAAACTATTTAGTTAGGTTAAATTTGTATCATATTCTATAAATAATTCGATTAATTTTCTCACCTTTACAGGGAGGAGAACATGTTTGGCAAGGATAAAGTGTGCTCAAGTGTGACCATACTCGAGAGCGTGCAGTATTAAGATTGGGGCTTCTATTTAGAAGAAGGTGGCACCCATTATCTCAAGCCCATTGGTGTCCAAGTACGTTCTAAGCCTACTCATGCCTGGACACTCTAAGGCCCGAATATATATGTGTGCGCGCGCGCCATGCCGCAGCAAACCCATTTTACGCATAACCAGAAATAATCATATTCCGACAAACCAAATGCCTAGAAGGCATTCTGTGAAATATAACGTACACATCATGAATTTGTCTGCATTTCGTATGCATATTCACCAGGCATGTCAAACAAAGAAAACTCTTACTCGTAATTAAAAACTCAAAAATTACCAAACTCTGAACAAAATCCAAAATCATACATTCCATTGTCTCCTCTCTTTCTCACTTCACATGCACTGAACTATGGCATGCTGATGTTGAGATTTAGCTAATCCTTCTCTAATCCCATCTGGTGTTAATGTTGAGATTTAGCTTTTGGTTTCAGTGATTCTTTCATTTTCTTATTGTCTGTGGGTTTTGTTGTTTGATCTGGTGGACTTATTCTTGCTTTATTTGGATAAATCAGTTGCATGGGTTATAGTGATAATATCAGTTGTGTGGGTTTCGTCACAGGAAAGGGGGACTTTAATCTTGTAGTTTCTAAATTCAATTTGAAGATGAATTCTACACTTCGACAGCTCTTGTGTGGTGATAATCTTATGGTTTGGCGAGATTCAGGGGTGTACGGTTGGAGATGGTGGCCAGTGAGGGATCAAAGGAAAGGAAGATGACGACTATGTTTAGTGTCTAGCATAAGAAGACGGGCGGAATGGCAAGGTTTTTTTTTTTATTATTATTATTTTATTCAATGGATATTTTAAACAACCAGATACTTCGTAGGAACAAAGCTAGCTAACAATGTCAGCCCGTGTATATATATTGATGGCAGGTTTTATAGCCAGTGCTCCTTACAGGTTGACAACATTCCATGAGATATGTTATGGTTTTAATTGAGAATAGTGCTTGCATTTCTGTTGCTCTTCTCTCTAAATGAACTCCTTGACTTGTTGATGCTGGGAAGGAAAACGACTGGCAGTAAGTAGTACAGTTCCATTCAAGCCTTGAAGCTTTCCTATTCATACAATATGCTTCTGCGATCCCTTTGTAGCCATCTCCACTGTGGAATTATCACCATCTTTATATCTATACCATTTGGCACACAAAAGAAAATAGCCGAAGTTGAGGATCCCCAGACCAACGATCATGTAATAGAAGCAATCCAGTTTCCCTTTGTTAAGATCATCGTCCAACCAGTCTCCAGTTTTACTCCCTGAAGTAATGCGGTGGACTAAAGTAACTAGGAAACCACTTAGATAGTTAGAGATAGCAGCACCTGCGAAAAAGGATGGCCCAGCGATACTCCTCATATTTTCTGGGTATTGCTTGTAGTAGAACTCGATCTGTGCAATATAATTGAAACCCTCTGAAAGTCCAGAGAGTGAAAGTTGTGGTACCAGCCACAAGGCAGACAATGATGATATAGCGCCTCCTTTACTTGTAATGCCTATGGTTGGCCTTGTCAAAGCAATGTGCCTTCTGTTTCCTTCTACCAACCCAGAAACGATCGTACAAAGCATTGCTAGAACCATTCCAATTCCCATTCTTTGAAGCAATGTTAGTCCACCTTCTTTGCCAGTAAGCCTTTGAAGAAACGGAACAATGATTCGGTCATAGAGGGGAATCCAGATGGTGAGGGTTATCATTGTAAAGATTACGTACGTTGCGGCAGGCACCTCAAAACTGGTGCCCAGGCGTCTATCCATCTGAAGGGCTTGGAAAACTGCATAAGTCTGTTGCTGGATCAAGGGAATATGATAAAGTATGGATGTTGACCATATGGGAATTATCCTCAGCAAACACTTCACTTCCTCGACTTGTTGGATGCTACAAAGTTTCGATGGGTTAGTAGCTGAACCATCCAAATTAATTTGATCTCCATCTGTAATGATTGCAGCTTTGTCAAGATACCTGCAGTGGTCGTCATCATTGAGTATTAAGAGTCAAAACGAAAAATAAAAATTACCTATGATTCTGTAATTGGCAATCAAATAATTAATGTATGCTGCTGAGTCTTCACACACGAAAGTACCCCACTGACGATGCTGTTGTATAAAATGATTCATGCTTATATGTTGTCCAGAAATTAATCCTTCTCACCTAAATTGTTCAGTGCGAGGAAGCTTAGAGTTGATAGATTTGGCCGGAATGTAGCTGAAGAGAGAGACAGTTGAGTTTTCAGGAAGCTTCAGGCCTCGTTTCTTCGTAGCAGCAACAATTACATGCACCACACTACTTATGGGGCTGCCTTCAGGTTTCACTATAACATAAATTCTTGTTCCCACAAAGAACATTACACAAGAGAGGAACATTAGGAATGCCGGAATTCCGAAACCAATGGCCCAGCTAATGTTTGATTGCACATAGACAATGCCAGTCACCGATACCATCACGGCGAACGTGAAGGTAAAGTAGTACCAATTGAAGAAACTGTTGATACCCCTCCTGCCAGATTCAGTATTGGGATTGAATTGATCTGCTCCGAAGGCTAGGTTGCAGGGCCGTATGCCACCAGCTCCGATTATCAAAAAGGCAAACGCACTCAGCAGGA